GTCTCTGGACATGCGCAGTTGTTTTCTTCCTCCCAGGTACCAACAAGTCCTCTCCCGGCACCTGCAGAAAAAGCGAAAGAGACAAACCCTGAACAGGCAGAAGAAATGTGAGTGTGCAGTGGCAGCATGACCAGGGGAAGGCAGACAATGCCTGTGTGCCCGTGGCTGCCCTCACTCTCTTGTGCCCTCAGAAAACCTAGTGAGCTCGAGGAGGATGAGGATGCTGAAGAGCCTGACCTGACCTGTTGTGGCCTTTGTATTTGATGGTGGAAATCCCTAAAGGCAAGTGAACGATGCCCTGAGAACATCCTCCAGGGAACAGACACCCTCTCCATAGCAGCCCCTGAGCCCACTGGGCTGAGCCCTCCATAGGCTGCTTTAATGAGGGAGGGGCTGAGGTGCTGGTCAGGCTACCACATGCAGGATTCTGAGGGCCATGCACCACGTTCTTGTCTGCAGTGCCACTTCTGCTTTAATGAGGGAGGGGTTGAAGTGCTGGTCAGGCTACCACATGCAGGATTCTGAGGGCCATGCACCACGTTCTTGTCTGCAGTGCCACTTAAGCTCATTTGAGGGGACCCAGTCCTGCCTCCATGTCCCCAGAAGACAACGGGGAGGGAGCATCACCGGTTCAGCATGAGCAACCACTGGGGTTGATCATGAATCCCCCTGTTTCATGCCTCCTGGGAAAGGTGTGAGAGGGAGGGAGGCAGCCCCAGGTTTCTTGCCACACAAGCAGCCCACCCAGCCCAGCATTGCACACCTGCGGGCACTCAGTAGGGCCTGGCATCAAGAAGGGGAAGGGCCAGGATCCAAGACCCGCTGGGATGTGCCCAGTCCCAGGGACCCCTCAGTCTCCATGGAGCCCTTGGTGCCTGGGGTGGCCTCATGGCCCCATTTCTCAAGATGAGGTTGGAGAATTCTGTGTGTAGAGAGCACCGGCTTGGGCATCAGTGGTTCTGTGTCTGTGTCAGATGCCAACAAAGAAACTCTTGAAAACAAGTCAGGGCCATGCTCACTTAGGAGGAGTTGAGGGGCAGGATTCAGGGAGCCACTGTTTTAAATGTACTTTTCAATTTGAAATTAGCATATACATATGAATGTGTGTTTGTGTATATTTTATACACACACACACACACAGTTTTTTACTCTTTACAACAGTGGTTTCTGTAATCTTTTATGCTTGAATGTATTAAGTGAAATGTATGTTTTACCAAAGCATTAATGATTTTTAAATGGAAATGCATAGACAGGGTTGGTGGGGATGTTGGAAGGATCACGTCTTATTGGGCGATAACAATGACATACTTCAGGAAGCGGCACACATTCAACGTGCAGCTCTTCTGTCTGGATGGCATGGAGGGTCTGGGTGGAGGGGCAGGTCACCACCCCACCCTGTGTCATCAGACCTCCTGCTCCTCCCAGGACCCGGGGGCATGAAACTCTGCCTGTTGATCCTTGAACCTCCCCCCTCCCTCTTTGTGTTTCAGTATCTGGAGGTCCAGCCCCCTGAAGGCGCCCATGTGCGTGCCTGGGCTCAGTGCCTCCTGCAGGACATTTATAGACACTCTGGGCACAGACAACCCCTTCAGCAGAGAGCAGCACACAGGCCTCGGTGCCCTGTGGATAGACTCTGGGGAGGCCAGGGGCCCAAGGCCACCTTCCAGGGCCGGAGGAGCCCTCTGAGACCTGCACACCCACCCCAGGGAGCCCCCCTCCCTCCACCTCTGTGCCCCCCAGTGACCCTCGAACCTCTGTCTGTGTTGCAGATTTGTCAACCTCCGGAAGGGCTGGTTCTCGGTAGATTTCCCTGGCCTGTCAGCCCTCTGGATCGTGCGAGTATTGGAGAATCCCCTTCCTCTGTAGTTCTTTTTGACCTTCTTTAATTTTTTAAAAAATATTCTTACTTTAACATGTTTACTTTTAAGATACCAGCTGTCATTGTGTCATCATAGCTTACATTTTATTGCTGAAGTAAATTTTCCATTGTTTTATTAGGTTTTTTTTGATCTTTGTCCACTCATTTTGGAGTTTTTGTAATTTTGATATTCTTTTATGCTTTGTATTGTTTTCTTAATGACTTTTACCTTAGTTTTTAACAAATCCATAGTACAGTAAGTTATATTAAGACAGTATTTCAGCCAGGTGCGGTGGGTCACACCTGTAATCCTACCAGTTTGGGAGGCCGAGGTGGGCAAATCACAAGGTCAGGAGATCGAGACCATCCTGGCTAACATGTTGAAACCCCGTCTCTACTAAAAATACAAAAAATTAGCTGGGTGTGGTGGTGGGCGCCTGTAGTCCCAGCTACTCGGGAGGCTGAGGCAGGAGAATGGCGTGAACCCGGGAGGCAGAGCTTGCAGTGAGCCAAGATAGCCCCACTGCACTCCAGCCTGGGGGACAGAGTGAGGCTCCACCTCCAAAAAAAAAAAAAAAGAAAAAGACATAGTATTTTTTATGTTTTTAAATAGCGTATATTCTGTACATCTTTTCACATATATATATATATATATATATAAGTGTTAATGGCCAGGCATGGTGGCTTACACTTGTAATCCCAGCACTTTTGGAGGCTGAGGCAGGAGAATCAGGAGGATTGCTTGAGCTCAGGTGGTTGAGGCTGCAGTGAGCCATGATTGCACCACCGCACTCCAGCCTGCGTGACAGAGCGAGACCCTGTCTCTAAAAAAAAAGTGCTTGTGGCACATATACACCATGGAATACTATGCAGCCATAAAAAAGGATGAGTTTGTGTCCTTTGTAGGGACATGGATGCAGCTGGAAACCATCATTCTTAGCAAACTATCACAAGAACAGAAAACCAA